CCTCTTGATCTCAGTCTATAAATCTCTCAATTCCCTTAGCTTTCCAAACAGTGTGGTCATATTCATTGTTATCGTGGCAGACCTTCTTGAGAACTGAGAGGGGTTGTCCCCCCTCCCCCAAAAAAGTTTTGTAACTCCCATATAATTTATGATTTTACCCCCTAAACTTAATGATTATTTAATATATTTACTTATATATTTACAATTTTATCTTTTTAGTCTCTCTTCAGTTTTGTAACTCTCATATAATTTATGATTTTGTCCCCCAAACTTAATGATTATTTAATATATTTACAATTTTATCCTCTCACTCTTTCATCTTTATATTTATTAATAATATTTTATTTGGCCCTCCCAAAATTAATGATCAAGGTTCGCCACTGATTGTTATAAGATATATGGATTCTAAACTAGCAGTCACTTTAGATTGTCAAATTTTTCTTAAACTGTTTAGAATCTTGATATTTAGTTCCTTTTTGTCAAAAACCTTTTCAAGAGTCATTAAATGATTCACAATATGAGTAAAACTTTTCTAGACATCATATACATTTTCTTCAGCCTTCATTATGAACATTTCATATTCTTGAATAAGAGTATTCTTTCTTGCCCTCTTTACTTCTTCATTTTCTTCATGAGTAACTTCAAGAACACTTCACATTTTTTTAGTTGATTCATAAACTGAGATTCTATAAAATTCATCAAGTGTTAACGTAGAAAAAAATAATATTACTAGTTCTAATATCATAATGGGCTCTTTTATTTTTATCAGGAGCCCAGATCATTACAATATTTGATTATTGTTTCACCATCTTTTACCTTACTTGGTTGAAAAGGATCATTTACAATAACATCCCATACAACTTTGTCAATAGATTCAAGAATAATCTTCATGCTTATTTTTCAAAATGGATAATACTCTCCAGTAAACAAAGGAGGTTTGTTTATATAGGCCCCTAAAATTGATTATCTTTTGAAAACCCTGAGGCCAATTGTTGAAAACAATTAGAATGACTTAATTCAAGAGGGGGTGAATTGAGTTTTAAAGAATTTTTTTCAAAATCTAAAATTATTTTGATCTTTTCAAGTTACAAACAAAAACTGATGAATCTTTTTCTGTGAATCTAATTGAAATAGAATGTACAATGTGTTGCAATTATTTTTAAAACATCAAGATAAAGAAAAGATAAGAATACAAAAATTTATACTAGTTCAATTATGCAGAATCTACATCCAGTTATATGAGCAACTTTACCTTGAATTTTCAATATAAACTTTCAAAGATTCAGATTACAAGAATTCACCTATGAAATCTAAACCCAATAACAAGATGTAGATCTTAAAAAGCAAATCTTCTAACAAGATCTAATAAAATAAAAACTGAAAATATTATCCTCACAATTTTCAAGCAATATTGATGACAATCTCCTCAAAATCATCAATACCCAAACAAAAATTAAGAAATGAATTGTATAATATATACATAGATTCTTATAGTCAAAATAACTTAATTTTTGAAAATGATTGTCACAAAAATATTTCACAACTTTGACAATAGTTTCAATGCCCACATCAACTCTATTATTCAAATACTAATTGTATTTTCAAAAATATATCTTAATTTAAGGTGTTAAAACAGTTTCAACCTATTTAGATAATTAATTAAAAAAAATTTAATCAATTATATTAGTACAGTATAAATATATATATATATATATATATATATATATATATATATATAATTGATTAAGATCAACATAATCAATTATATTTTTTAATAGTGAAGTTAACTGATTATCATTTATCTTTAAAGAATTTTAAAATTGATTTAATCACTTAGCTTTACAAATTCTAAACACACCCAACTACCTACTAAACATCATAAAAAATATTCATTAGAAATACAAAATACCAAATTGCTAAAAAACATGTTAAGAGACAATAATGTGTTTTTATTTTAAAATATTCTTAATGACAATAAATAATTTAAGGATCTTCCATGATAAATATTAATCATTAATAAATATGTAAATATTATGTTTAAAAAGAGGTTTGAAATTTAAGATAAATATTACATAAATAAATTTATCAATTTCAAAATTACCGATAAATGAGATTTATACTAGATTTATTATATTTTTTTAAAATAATATATAAGTCTTCTAAATATAGGTTTACTTCTTGAGTATTTCATTTCCGTATATTATATATAGTATGTCATTTCCGTTGTATTTTCTCCTTTTATGTTTATATTACATTATATGTTACAAATAATTATATAATTTAAAATTTTAATTTAATTAGGATTTTATGTTATATAGTGATTTTTCTTTTAGGAGAAAGAATGTACGAAATGAGTAATTAAATGTAATATATATATATATATATATATATATATATATATATATATATATATATGTGTGTGTGTATAGTTAGATAAAAGAATTAAAAATATGTTAGAAAATGTAGACTTAGCATTACAACGTGACAGAAAAAGAAACAAATTGGCACCGACCTGGAACAAATTGGTGAGCGAACTCCATTTGAAATGGCCAAACACTTCTTTGAGACTATCTGACATTTGACCTATAATGCATAGAAAGATTGGAAAAGATTAATTAAGCTTCTGTTTAGATTTATTGGAGTTAGATTGGATGGTAGAGTTTTTTGAACTGATTGGATGGTGAAGTTGTTTGGAGAGAGGAAAAAAAAGTAAATTTAAATTAATTTAAGTGAATTTATTGTTGTTGATATAATTGAATATAAAAATATTGAATAATAATTTTGTGTAATATAATCATTAAGTAATTTTTTGAATGGATAAATTAAGTGAAATAATAATTATAATATAATTAAATATAAGAATGTTAATTAATTTATATTATACTTAATAAGTTTTTTATTGCATGGAATTATATATAAATTTTTGAAAATATATAAATTCATGCAAATAATAGAAAGTGTAAAAATAGTTTTGAATATTTTTTATTAATATTTTAAAAAATTTGGATTAAAAAAAAGAAAATAAAAAATAAAAAGAAATGAGATGAAATTTTATAATTGGTTTGAAATAAAAAAATATTAATAAAATAACTTATTAAATTTCTAAAATATTCTTAATTATAATTGAATAAAAATAAAAATAAATTATTTTATAAAAACAATTATTTTTAAAGTTTTAAAATAAATAAAAATTAATTTTAAATTATTAACTACAAATCATGTATAAAAATTTAATTTAAGTAAAAATTAAAAAAAATTATAATATAATTAAAAAATGTATAATAAAAAAATTAATAGAATAATTTATTAAATTACTAAAATATCCTTACTTAAAATTTAATAAAAATAAAAATAAATTATTTTATAAAAAATAATTAATTTTAAAGTAATTAATTTTAAAAAGTTGAATTTTATAAATAAATAAATTATTAATTAAAAATCCATGCATAAAAAATTATGTGAAACACTAGTTAAGAAAATTAAAATATAATAAAAATATTTATAATAAAAAAATCAATAAAATTATTAAAAAAATAAATGTATATTTAAATATAATTTTATTTTTATTATAATAAAAAACTATAAAATCATGTATAACTAAAAAAAGATACTATAAATTAAATTATATATAATAAATATAATAATATTTTTTAATATAAATTGATTTTTTATAATATATAATATGTATTCGATTAAGTGCTTTTTTTTATTTAATGATTCATATATTTTTTAAATTTTATGATCCAAATATAAATTTTATGATAAATATTTCGTTTATAATATAATTTAATTATAATAAAGATATAATTGATCTACATACGAGTTTATATATATATATATATATATATATATATATATATATATATAATTAACATAAATTTATATTAAAAATAAAATTTTTAATATAAAGAATTATAACAAAAAATTGATAAAAGGGTAATATAGATATTGCATCTTAAAAAAAGTTAACTTTCTTACCATTTTTTGTTCTAATTGAAGGTAGATTATAATATATGGGTCTCACCAATTTTTTTCAAATATGCTTATATCCATATATACAAACATGAAGTATTCGCTCAATTTCGTACCTTCATTTCTTCAACAACAACTGTTACTGTAAATTCATTGATCCAAACATAAGTTAAATGAATTTGCTTACAAATAAAATGATTATGTGAACAAATATATATAAATACATCTTATATTCATACTTTTTTTGTTTTTTCACTTAACGTGTTTATTTACTTTTAAATTAACTTGAATACAAACTATAGAGCATCATCTTAAAATGAGTTGGAGTTTCGAGAATATATTATAAAAGAACAAAAGACCAGTTTATAGCCATCACAAGTGGCAAAATTTGAATAATGAAAGCAACATGTTTTCATGTGGAGTGCGTTTCCATCTCCCTTACCCTTCTCCAAAATCATTAAATTAAATAATGTATATTTTGTCTTTATAAGATGCGAAGTTGTGTCTAGTATTTATAAAGAAGAAAATTTTAAAAATAAAGGAAATTATCTTTTATAAAAAGAAGGTAATTTTAAATTAATTTTGGAACACTTTTAAAAAAAGTGGCACACTTAATCTCTCTGTATGTTAAACTAATTGGCGTGAAAGAAAAATATAAAGGAACTTTTAAATTAAATTTGTAGATTAAAATCATTTTTATGTTAAAATTATAAAAAGTTATATTTTTCTTTTCAAGTTTTTAATTTTTAGTTTTTTTTTTCTGTTATAGTTTCAATGGTGTTTTTTTTTTTTTTTTTCTCTATCACACTTTTTTAACTTCACTAAACTAAATATTAATCGCGTTCCAGTTAGTATGAAGTGTGAAACCAATTAACTTAACCCAACAAATTAGCCTAAGTAGGGTAGATTTTGGTTGAAATTTATGTGGGCCAAGATTTTTGGACCAAGTTTTTGGACTCATATTTCTTGAATTTTCTCCTTCACTTTCTCAGACGCTAACAATCTGTGTTGTGTATCTGAACTCAGCAATGAGTGCAGCATCTGCTACTCCTTCCGCCGCTCAAATCCTCTCGTTGTTCCGCTCTCTCCTACGCGTTGCGCGAGATTTCCCCGATTACAACATCAGGGAATACACCAAACGACGCACCATCGATGCGTTTCGTCATAACGCGGCTCTCTCCGAAGCGTCTTCAATTTCCTCCGCCTATTCCCATGGCATGTCTCACCTCGCCGTTGTAAAACGACAGGCCGTTGTGTACTCTCTCTACGCCCCTTCGCTCCGCAGCGTCATGGAACTACAACAAGCCCCTTTCTAATAGCGATAATCTGTAACTACGACGATTTTAGGGTTTAGGGTTTATGCCTTTTTGTGTGATGCTAATTTGTTACTTGCTGTATAGAGTTAGTAATAGTTTTTTGGTATTGATTCAGGTTCTGAAGACTAATCGGAGACGTGCATTTCCTTAATCTGTAACGAAGTGAAGATCTTTTCAGGTCTCAACCAACAATTGCTCTTTAATATCAAGCAGGCATCTTTTAGGACAGATTTATGCATTTTTTTTTTATTTGAGGGCCACTCTCTTATAATAAATGAAACACCTGTTTCAAGGGTTTAGAACGACTGATCTAGCTGGGTTACCTGTAAATTTGATATTTTTTTGTTTGACTATGATATCAATTTGATGACGCTCTGCAAACTTTATCCTTTTGTGTTCTTGTTAAGAATGGCATTGCAATGCAATGTCTTCTTTTGCTTCATTATTAGCTACTCTGATTTTCGTAAGCGCCTCCTTTTGGGTTTCCATGAAATGTGGGGTAAATTTGTTAAAACTCGAATTGAAAATACAGGATCATGCCACAGGGATGGGGTTAGAGAACATATTGGCGAGGAAGAGGTTGGAGAGGGAGTGGGAGGCGAGTAACATGGTAAAAATGGGTGAGGTAGACGGAGTTCTGCGAGGTTAAGAGTGATCATGAGTTTGTTAGGATATACATAAATAGATATGTTCTTGATAGCTTGTTCTGCACTGGAAAAGAAGACTATATTTCCAGTACAGAACTTCTGAAAACCATTTCTAACTTCTATTCAAACAAGTCTAATGTGTCAGCGGGTGTTGTTGTTGGAGATACCATTCCAAGAACAATGGGAAATGGTGTTTTTCTGATAGAAGAGATGGGATACTGTCAAAAAGGCTGCTCTCTGATCTAAAGACGATTTTACAAAAATGGTGTCAAAAGTGCATTTGACGTGAATGTTCATTGTTTACCGTGCATATTCTGGTATGGAGGCAATGGTAGAAAGAATAGAAAACAAATCTTGAAGTTCGAGAAATTAACAAATAAATCTTGAAGAGGATACTCTATTACAGGTTGTTGAAAGTCTCACATTGCCTACCTCATGTCATTTGGTATGGTTTAAATATATGTTAGTCTACTCTGCATATTGTCAATTAGTTTTACGTTTGAACTTTAACATGGTATTAGAGACAAAGTCTAACATATTTCCGGTTATTGTCATGGGCCAAAAGTTGCCCTTTAGTTGAGTCAAAAGTACCCTTTGCCTGGTCCGGCAGGCTTCGTTGGAAGGGGTGTGTTGAAAGTCCCATATCGCCTATTTCATGTCATTTAATATGGTTTAAATACATATTAAGCTATTCTGTATATTGCTAATTGGTTTTATGTTGGAACTTTAACACAGGTGATGTTTAAATTCGTAAAGACGGGTGCTTTAAATTTATCGTGTTTTGGGTTCATGGATTGGTCAGTTACAGAATGTTTCATGATAAAATCGTTCTTCAATTTTATTCCGTTGCACATTTAAGCTTTCTCTTTTTAATATTCTGGCTATTTTATTTAAATTTTCTCAAGACCACTGCTAAGCCCTACTTTAATTATACGAGTCAGATCAGAAATCGTGGTTTGCTTAACGTTCAGCCCTTCTTTGTATATCAAAATTGTGTGTCATTGTCGTTGGCATTCAAGTATATCACTATGGAAATAATGAAAGAGATTCAAGCATACGAATCAAAGTATTTCATCAATGAAGCCTATTGGTTTGATCCATCATAACATCATGAACTTTCCTAGACATTTAATTTATGCCCACTGTCAAAAGCTACCTCCAATGTGCAGCCAAATTTATACCATGGATTAGTTAGTGCATAATAGTTTAAGGGAGAAAATATCTCAGATTTTGACTACAGTTCTCACTTAAAATTATGTGCGAGTGGCCTAAAAAGAGCATAATGTATAAGTTTTCTCCCGTTACCTCCTGGTATTTAGTATTTCGTCCGCCCATTGCCTTAACGGTGTGGCGTGTTTTTCATGAGATATTCCACTAGCGATTATAGTTAAACCCGTTTTTGTGGGGATTGATCCATCCCTGTTCCGAGTTTGACGGGAAAAATCCGAGTTGACCGGGGTGGGTTCGGATTTTCCCTGCTTTAAAAATCCGGGGGCGGGGTGGGGATGGATAATACAATCCCTACCCCGATTCCGTCCTCGTCCGATTTTATATTTAAATTTAAATTTTAAAATATTAATATTTTAAAAATATTTTTTTCTTTTTCTATTATATAAGGTTATTTTTTTATATTTCACCGAATTTTTTTCTTCTATCCACTTTTTAATTTTTTGTCTTTTTTAATCTTTTATATCAATTAATTTATTATATTATTCTTTCTCTCACTTTTCAGTTTTTCACATTTACTTAATTTCTCCTATCAATTTGTTTTTTTTTCCAATCTTTTCAACCAATTTGATGAACACAAAGTTATTCTTTTTTATTCTTTATCTTTTTATAAATATTTTACATAAATCTTAGTAGTAACTAATATTATTTTATTTATAATTTATATTTATTAGGTTTTATTATGTCATTTTTTTATTTTATTATTCTTATTTATCATATATCAAATTTTATCTTAATAAAATAATTGTATTTTAAAGGATTAAAGGAATTGATAATTTAAATTTTTATTACTTCGAACTAATTGAATAAGAATTAACTTATTAAATATTTTCTTATAAACTATATATTTCATATTTTTAAATGACAATTTAAAAATAAATTAACTTATATATATAATCAAATGTTTAAATACAGTATTATAATAATATTATTATAAATATTTGAATACAGTGTTATAATAATAATAATAATAATATTGTAAATAAAAAATGATTAAATATTTTTTTTACTTACATATTTTAATATAAATATAATAAATTAAAATGTATATTTAATTAATAATAATTATAAATATTTATTTATATATAAAAAATAGATAAGAAAATTAATTTATTATAAATATAATTATTTTTTAAAAAATAATATAAGTCGGGGATATGAAACCCGAAACTCAACGAGGGACGGAGATGAAAACTTAATTTCTAACCCCGACTCTAATCGAGAACGGAATGGTTAAAAAAGTCTGGGAAGAAATCGGACCCGCCGAGTGTATTAGTCTTTTACTATTTTGCTTCAGGTTTCTATTAAACTCTCACCCAGTAAATAACTTTGTAACCGACTGCCCATACGTTTAACCTATATATAATCTAATTTATAAAATTGTCATATAATATTTTGAATAAAATTATAGACTAATTTTAATGTATGAAAAAAAAAGTCTTCTAATTTTTTTCTTAAAAGGAATCACAGAAAAGTTCTTCGTCCAAACCGATGAACGGAGCAAAATGACAGTATCTAACAAAATTCACAATCATCCTTTTATTCTCATTGTACCAAAATAGTCTGTAGGGAAATTTATTGAGTTGATTTCTCATTGAAGCAAGTAAGTTTATGTCTTTGAAAAGTTGGCCCCAAATGCTAGTCTGTTGCTTTACGACTAATATATCATATACCAAGGCTCAATGTTGTTCTACGGTTCTATCATCTTTTGCAGTGGTATGCCTTCTGTTTCAAGGTCAATCAGCCGGGAAGTATCATGTCCACTACTACCAACATTGAGAAAAGTGAAATTGCTTCAAAGAATGTCAAGAAAGAGCTGATAGCCCGAATGTAGTAAACGACAATTGAAGTTGAACATTTCAAGTCCATTACAAAAACATCGACCGGTTAAACACACAAATCAGCTCTACCACTGAAGTCCAATAAAAAGCTCCTACATTACAATTAAACAATACAAATCAAGCGGAAACTTAATCTTACATGATCCTTGACATGGCCCTTCACGTCAAAATTTTCACGCCTTTACTCTTCTTGACACCACTTCTGTTTTCCATCTTCAGTGGCAAAGGAGCAGAGAACAGGAGCTTTTCTTGGTTCGCATGAAGCTGCTCTTCCCCCACATTTCTGCCCTCATTTTCCAGAACCCTTGTACTGCCCCTCTCACCATCATCACTACTTCGCGGCGATCCTCCACTCCCCACCATCAACACTACCACATCATCCTCAGCACCTAGATAAGAATCTATACCATCATCTTCAACTGCACCACTCACATTTTCCAAAACCTCTCCTTGCTCATCACTAGATGAACAACTTCCATCGGAGCATCTTACATCCCCACTATAAACCTCATAAATATTCCCATTCTCAGCAAACCTCACGCTCTTCTTCACTCCAGGTTGAACTCCTTGCTTACGAAGGAAGACGCCATTTTTGTTTGGTGACATCTCATTACTTCCACCAATCAAAACATTGGTCACCCCATCATCATGAATGCCCTCCACACACTCAGAATCTTCTTCATCATTAGTAGAAACCTTACACAATCTACTAAGCTTCTCAACCCTACCCCTCAAATTCTGCAACAGCTTCGACCTTTCGTCATCACCTGCATTTCTTGGTTTTTGAACTTTCTTACCAGACTTTACAGTCTTTGCTTCTCTAACATAAAACACGTGGTTTTTCAAAGCAACCTCTTCAATTGCGTCCAAAAACCGAACCAAATCTCTGCTGATCGACCTTTTCCCATCCACAATCATATGATCACAACCCTAGAATCAAAATTGAAACTTTTTAGTTTTTTTTTTTTTTTCTTTCGCTAAAGAGGCTATTAGATATACAGCAAAACTGCAGATCTCAGACTCCAAAAGTGTTCTAGAAAGTACTTATAGATTGCCCACCAACAATCTTAACATTCCTTAAGGGACAGAAGTCTGATTCTTACAAACTTAACATTCTACTTTTTTCTACTGAAAAATAATAAATTCAAAATGAAAATCCCATGATTAGATTACCTCAATGGAATCGAGTTCGATGAGCAAGTTCATGGCTTTGAGAGAAAGGGCTGCGAAATCGACATGGGCATTGTTGGAAAAATAGGATTTGAGAACGTTGAAGGTGGATTTGATGGAAGCGAGGCGTTTGAGTTGGGTTAGGGTTCTTGATCTGCGAACAAGGAAGGAGCGAAAATGGGTTTGGATGACGCTGGCGGAGGCGTGGCGGAGGGAGTGACGGCTGTAGTGGTTGAGAGAGGACTCGAGGGATTCGATGCGGTGAAGGAGGGAGGAGATGGTGGAATGGGTTTGCTCTTGGTGTTGAAGGTGGCGGTTTTGGGTGGGGAAGTTGAGGCTGTGGTGAGTTTTAGATTTGGTGTAGTGCTGTTGGGAGGGAAAAATAGGGTGAGGTTGGGGTTGAGAGAGGAGCGATGCTATGGCTTGTAGAAGGTGGTGTTGGGGAAGTGTAGATGAACAACAGGTGTTTGGAGGGTTGTGGTAGCAGCAGCATTGGGTGGTGGTGATGGTGCTGCTGCTGCTGATCGGAGGAGGCGGAGGAGGAGTGGTTTGGTGGTGGTGGTGGTGGTGGCCGTGATGGTGATGGTGGCAGTGAGAGGCCATTCAGCGCGTCGGAGCCCACCAGCAACACTGCGAGGAAAGAAGGGTTTTTGGTGTTGTTGGCGAGAAAATGCGGTCAATTCAAAGGGTATTTATGTGACTGTAATTAATTGGTTTACCATTTGCAAAGGATATTTCTTTTCTTTAATACCAAAACAATAGGATATGCTTTTATAATGAAAAATATTTTGATCAGTTATTTGACACAATTTAATCTTCAGACTTTTATTTTTTAAAATTATTAATATATCCCTGTGAATTTAAATTGTAGACATTGATAGAAAGAGAAGGAAGAGGAGTTAATTTGTAATAAAAGTCATGAGAAGAAGCTTTTCCCAGTAGAAAGAAAGAAGCACATGAAATTGGAGAGAAGATGCTGAAAATTTGTCAAACACTGTTTTATTTTTATTGACCACCTTGTTAAACATGTGAGAGGAGATTCATTCTTCTTACCATTTTACCAAAAGCTCTTGATTGTGATCCTCTTCTTTCTTGGTGAACTGAAGAACCAAGTGTTTATTCTTGATATAAGCATGATTTTACCAAAAGTTGGAGAGATTTGTTGGAGCTTCACCAAAGTTAGAATGATTAGGACTAGTGGTCATCTTGCACATTTAAGTTTCTAATTTTGCTTCATCGATTCTCAATGCTGTGTTATGAACATGATGTGTTAAGTATATTTAAGCTGAGTTTTGACTATCTACGTAAAGAGTTTTTCAAATTGTTGATATTATATGGACTTTTATTAATCAATGTTTAATATTTTAAACTAGAAAAATATAACTAAAACTAAAATTACTTATACTAATAGATTTGATTCAATCTTGAAAAATTGATTACAGTTTTTAAAATTTAAGGATTTATTGAACATTTTATTGATAAAGAAAATAAATAATAATAATAACAATAAAGTAATTTAACAATAAGATAAGAATGTGGTTTTAGTTAAAAAAGTAAATAAAAAAATAAAAGTTGAGCAGAGAATATCGAGGTATTATTAAGATGGTGCCCTGATGATGGTGGCGAAGTTGGTGTCTAACTTTTTAAGAATCTGGTCACTGTGACTCCATAACCGAGGAAGGAAAAGTTTTTTGTGATGGGCAATGCTGACATGACATGATCCAATAATTTTCCATGTGCCCACTGCTCCTAATATTATTCCCAACATTGTTTCCTTCTGTATTTTTCTTTCATTTCATGCATTGTGTTAAAAAAGAAAGAAACTGCAAAGTGTAAAAAATATTATTAGAGATGATTATGTAAGAGGATGGCCTGTAAAAGAAACTTTCTAACAATATTCTGCAATACTAAAATCAAGAGTGTATTTTTATATCATTTAATACAAATACATGTTCATGATTCGAACTTAAAATATATTTAGTTAAATTAAAATAGTTTTATTTAGTGATATAAATATCTTTTATTAAATAGAAAATCAAATTTTTATTTTTCAATAAATTTGGAATAATAAGAATATTAATAATTTGATTAGAAAATTCGATTGTTTCCCTTGTTGTAACATGTTTCTTCATGGTAATATATTACCTTTAAAACAAACTTTTACGAGCAGCAACTTATTGGAGGAAAGAAACAATTAACCTTTGAACGAATATTAAAATATTTCTAATAAAATCTAATATGTTTAATATATGTCAGATACTTTTTTATTATTATTAATTATGTATAATAGATAGCAGCACTTATTCTATCCTAGTTCAATATGAAGTTGTTGAACTCAATTTGCCAATTGCTTAAACTTTTTAAATTTAACTTGTGTGTAACACCCATTTAAAATCCTACAAAATTTAACAAAAACGAATTATTATTAAAATGAAAATGCCCTTTAACTTGATTAATAGGCTTCAATTTGACTATACTAATGAAATTGTTCTAACTTAATCGTATCCAGTTCAAACCCAAATGGAGTAGGACAAAGGAATTAAAAAATAAAAGAAAAAAGAAAAATAATTTTTCTGTTCCTCTATTTCTAATGTATTTTACAGAGAGTTTAAATTTTGATAATGTTGCTTTCAAGAGATTTGAAATTAAAACAATTTATTTATGATTGGAAATGCTATTTGAAAGTGAGTTTAGAAAAATTATTCAGACTAGAGTGTTTTATTTTTGAACTGCAAATATGAATATATTTTGTGTTTTATACCCCAAAACCAATTCTATAAAATAAATCAGTATGGAATGACAAGGTGAAGTAAAATGCTTTTTTCACGTTTCAACTTGTTTCTATGTTGTTTTTGGCTGCTCACTGCAAAATCAAAACATGGTCTAAATTTGAAAACCTCTGCCAAGACTTTGTTGGTCTCACCTAATTTTATGTTATTATTTTATACGATAACAAAAGGGCTATAAATTTAGATGACAATATCTATTAAAAATACCTGTTGGTGTGCAAGATTATATGTTTTTGCAGAGTCGAAGGTGTGATTCATCTCAAGTTCTCAACTGCTAAGACAATGTATAAGTGAATGTACTCACTCAATTTCATATCGAAACTAGATTAAGAAATGGACATTGTAGTGGCAAAACAAGCTATGTTCCTAAATATAAGGGTAGAATTCAACTGGCATTGGAGTATGTATGATAAGATGCTTTCTTCAGCATAGCAGCATGCTTTTGTCCAGTAAGATGGAAATTATAGACTGTCTCACTATTACACACCACGTTACATATAGCACATATCTTAACTGCTTCGGCTGCAGCCCCACCATCAAGAACCTTCTTTTTCTTTTTCTCCAAGTCTGCAACAGTTTCAACTTTTTTTCTCTTAGTCTTGTTCCCAGTGGTTAATTTGCTCTTGTCGTCCTGTAATTGGGGTCCTATAACCGGATTAGTTGACCCAGATGGTTGAAAGTGGGTTGGTTTCAATGATTCTCTTAGTTTTTCCAAGTTCTTCTTGTGCTTCTTTCCTAATTTATGTTGGTCCAGTACTTCCTTGCCGGTGCATTCTATCTTGCAAACTTCACAATATGCAGGTTGCACAACCTTAGTTTTAGCTTTCTTTTGTTTTTTGTTCAGTACGCCACTGCCTTGAAGTTGAGTTGCGGTATTTGCCCACCACATGGAGATAGGATCTACCGTAGCCAATTGTTCTGAGCCATTGGATGGTATAGATATGCCCTGCACGGTTGCATGTTTTTATGTATATATTTCCAACTCAATATGATACACAGTGAATTAAAAAAAAATGAATGGAGCATTCGGAACTTGCATACAGCCTATATATGAAGTTCAATAACTATTCAAATCCTTAACAAAAATATCTTAAAAAAACAATACAAACAAAACCCAGAGCCAGTCAAGGAATTTTTTTAAAGATAGTGTTAATGAATAGTTTTTTCAGGTCACAATGATTCGTGCGAAGAATTTGATGACGACTAATTTTGACCAGAAAACCCAACTGATCATCTTAGTGGAGTCTCCCCTCCCAGCTACATTTATCATTCGCCTGGCTCAAATTCGAGACTAAGGTCTCTGTAACTTAGTTCTACTTGAATCAATATGTTGGTAGTTAGCACTTTTGTACAAAACAGACCTCAAATATGCAATGAATGTAGAGGAAATTAGTACAAGATATACACAATGAATTTTTACCATAATGTTCCTAATAGCAAAGGCAGGTGACTTAACCGATGTCACGAGTTACTACTCCAATCCACGCAGTATGCAAAACTTGTTCACTTTTATTTGCATTTTCTTTACCTTTTAGGTTTTTCAGGACAATTTTCAATGGAAAAACTAAAAATAACAACGACCAATGACACAAAGGCAATGAACTGCCAAACAAAGTTCGTAGTAACTTGAAACCTACAGGAAAATTAAATAAATCCAAAATCACCATCCACTATATTTCAGAAATATATAACAGAATAAATTTTACATTTCTTCATTTAAATTTGCTGCATACATTCTTAATTTCAGATAATTATGACAGAAAGTTAGCTAATATCTGCATAACATTCCATGTCTATTTGATTCATGCAAAACCCAAAAAATTGGATAACATAATGTCATAAAACTTTCAATACCGAGATATAGAGGATGTGTATTAGATTAGTAAGAGAAGCCATCATAAGAGGAACTAATCTTGATAAATAATCATGAACGGATGAGAAAATTAGGTTTAAGTAAAACAATGTTGACAATCTATGTATTAATTTCTCTCATACTAATCAATGGCCCTATACATGTCAAAGGTCATTTCAATACTGAACTACAATACCATTGCATAATCTGCAATGTAGCTATAGTCAATAGAGTAAATTTAATAATACATCAACTTCTAATGTCGTTGTATAAAAATATGAAGATATACTAAGCAAGTCTAAGCATCCAAATGACCAACTCTACAAATTCAAAATATTAGAACCATTTTGTTTTCCTATAACTGGAAGTAAAAAGTTAGGAAGCTCCTTTCAATTGGAATATGGTAGCCACGGATCCTACCTCGATTCTACCTCCCTAACTCCAAACAAATAACAAGCCATACACAGTCATACATCATTGGTAGACGCTACGAGCAAAGCAAAACAACCAACACTAACAACATATCAATTTCCCTCAACACTTCCACTAGCTCCCACTATACAAGAACATGATCATTTCTATCTTTTCAACCCCTTCATTAAACTACTTGGAATGTACACAAGCTAAGTCTTAAAGAACAGCCTGTCACAACAACTTCAGTCGCAAAAGAAAGGATTTAGAGGTCTCCTCGATAGTGGTAGTAGTTGACCACAATTTACCACAATATATAGGATCTCAACAAAACTTTGACCGTGACTAAAATTTAAAACCGTGTTTACAAGGGACCAAGAATTGTCAAGAACCAACACCATGAGCACAATTCTAAGCTCTACTCTCTACACTCGCAACCAGTCATAAAGATAAAAAGAATATGCACACACATTATCCAAATCCACCTTTCCGTCTATCACAACCATTGTCAATTCCACACCCCCCCCCCCCGCCAAAAAAAAATCAAAATTTTAGCCAAAAACATAAAATTGAACAGGCACGTACAGGAGCAAAGACAGTCGGGTCAGAACCAAATTGCCTAACAGCCTCTCTGGCAGCCCGATTCTGGTTCACATAGTACCCAGAAGACGGCGCCAACGAGTTGGAATCAGCCCCAACATGGGTCTGAGGATAGATCAAACTGGGAATAGGAACGGCTTCGTGACCCGAATATATAACGGGCTTCAATGGGGGGAGGGAATCAACCCCAGGAGGGTTGAGGGGAAGAGAGGAAGAGGGATTAGGGTTTTGAGGGTAAGAGGGGTAATGGGTAGTGTGAGATGGTGGAGGAGGATACGATGCTGAAGGCTGGGGGAAAGAGAGAAGTGGGGTTTCGGTTTGCAGCGATTCAGCCCAATTGCCGTATTCCATGGCTAAGTGAGTTTCAGTGGCATGGAGTTGGAGGAATTGAAGCTGAAGATGGACAAGAAAGAAAAGATATTAGATGGTCCAATACTACTACGCTTTAGAACAAATTCAAATTTAAAATTGGGTTTAATTGATTTGATTCTAACAGGGACTATTTGAAATTTTAGATTTTTTTGGCAATTGATTTTGTTAAGATTATTATTATTATTAAATATATTATTATTATTAAATATAAATACTTTTAGAAATATTTATTATAATATATTTGAGATTCGAATTTAAAATTGTTAATTTGAAATAATCTTGTGATAGTTAGTCTTATACCTAGTTGTTATGTTAACTGAAATTAATTATGATCTTTAATTTAATGATGAAATATAAAGTAATTCCATAGTGTAAACATGTTATAAACTAAATGCGAAAATGTATCTGAATTAGCCATAATGATGATGTCCCTTTTAGAAGACTATTGATCTTATGGTCTTCCACCGAAGAAGCACATGTATTTCCCTCTTGATTTTCTCTCTTGATGGGGATAGAAAGAACAGGACCAGTAACTACGTTACGTACGTGTGCTCCCGAGAAGGGACCATGATCCTTTATATAACCAGAATTAGGTTAATTACTTAAGTTTTAGTATTTCCAATTTGGTCCCTCATCAAATTAGAAATTACTCTATGGTCTCTACACAATTTTTATTTTCATGACATATGCCTTTAGCCAAAACTTTAATTTAGTCAGATCACTTTATTATTTGGCTTAATAAATAATGACCCTAACACATTTAAATATGTTTCATATATATACATGATCCAAATTTTGCCAACAATCTCCCACTGGTCACAAATATATATGTCTTTACAACCTTACAAATGTGTTAGACTTTATGAGCTCAAGATTGTCATTATATTCCTTTAGCATATTCCAAAAGTCATGTCCATTAATCATATCAGGATATAGAACAAAACCAGTTTTTCATTGCATCATCGCAACTAAAACCAACAATGATTACTCATCCTGACATAACCAAATGACATGGATTCATCATGAAATATGTAGCATGAAAAATTACGTGAAGGTGATCTGTACACGTCTATTTTCAACTGGTCCAAACTTTAACTTATCGAGATTGATATAATAACCTTAATGTACAAAGTGTAACGAATGGACAAGAAAACCGCATATCTATAGATAACCAAATATGTCCAAAAACAATGTATACATATATAAAATTAAACATAGAACATAAAATATATGAAAATGACTAACTCCCACTAAACCACAAATTCCTCAAACTGTAAAACACCCATGTGAGCAACATGCTCATGAAAGACCTTGGGCGGAAGTCCTTTAGTTAGAGGATATGCTATCATGGAGTTTGTCCTTAAGTGTTCTATGGAAATCTGTCCACTTTGTACTTTTTCCTTGACAATACAGCTGATTTATTGTCACAATATAACTTAAGTCGTCTTTCAATGCCTTTCACAATTTGCAGCCCTGTGACAAAATTTCTCAGTCATATTCCATGATTTGATGCCTCATAGCATGCTACAAATTATTGACATCCTGCAAAATCTGAGTCAGAAAACCCAGCGATCTCCAACTGGTCTAACCTCCTGTATGTGAACATATAATCTTTTGTTTTCTTTAAATATCTTATGACCCTTTTTGCTGTTTTCCAATGGTCTATTCCTGAAGTGCTTAAATATCTGCCTAGAACCCCAACTATGTATGTTATGTCTGGACGCGTACATATTTGGGAATACATCAAACTCCCGATAGCTAATGCATGGGGAATCTGTTGCATTTCCTCAATTTCCAAATTTCTCTTTGGGGCACTAATTTAGACTAAACTTGTCTCCCTTAGTAACTGGAGTATCCCCGACTCATGACGCACAGGTTCTTGAGGATCTTGAGTTTGGTCTTGACGAACAATCAAATCATCTTGAATATGGGGTTTATCATCAATGTCTTGTGGAGGTTCCGAACTTACTTTATCAAAAGTAACTGTTTGAATCGGTTTTGAATTTATTGTCGATTCTTCCTCCAATACAAAATTCTTAATCTTATTCTTCCCCCCAAACTCAATATCCTCAAAGAACATAACGGTTCCCATCTCAAAAATGTCTTTAATGTGGGATCATAAAATTTATATCCCCTAGCTCTTTCAGAATAACCAATGAAGTAACTACTTACTGTTCGGGAGTCCAATTTTAGTTTAATACCACGAGATTATGTATTAAGAGTTTCATTATAGGTGACCACAATATTAAGTAAATATAGATTATCATGAGCTAAAAGTGAACAAATTCTAATAATATCTGAATTAAAAGACAAACTGAACTCATTGTTTCCAAATAAACACAAATAACCTAATTTGTCCAAATAAGAAACTAAAACCAAATTTCGTCTAAAAGACGGCACGACAAAAATATCTTTTAAATCTAAAATAAAAAATTAGTACACAATAATAATCTAAAATGTCCAATAGTCTCCATCTCCACCGATTTTTCGTTTTCAACGTATATCCATCTTTCAGAATCAGTTGGCTTCCGGTAGTTTAGGCAACCCTTTCTTTTCACGCCAAGCATGATATTTAGCACATTGCTTCTTTACGTGTCTAGTCTTATTGCAAAAGAAACATTTGTTTTCTTGAGTTTGTTTCTTTTGTTCTGGACCTTTAGCAACTTCCTTCTTAGGATCCTCCAATCTCTTTCTTTTGCCTTTAGCCTTAGAGGTGCTTGCAAAATGAACACTTTTTGTCTTGTCTTGTTTTAGCCTTTCTTCTTCTTGTACACAATGTGCAATGAGCTCATTAAGAGACCATTTATCCTTCTGACAGTTGTAAGATACCTTAAACTGATTAAACGTTGCGGGAAGAGAAATCAACACCAAATGAATGAGCAAGTCTTCTGAGAGTTCGAGCTTTAGTGCCTTGAGTTTAAAAACAATATTAGACATGCTCATAATGTACTCCCTGATATTTCCTTTGCCCTGATATTTCATGGAGATCAAGTTCTGAAGAAGAGTGCTTGCCTCCACCTTATCACTTTTTGCAAAGCGCTGCTCAATTTAAGCAAGGAACTCTTTGACACTTGTGATGTTTTCAGAAACAGTGCCCCTAAACACCTCCGGGATGCCGCGCTTAATGATCATTAGACTCATGCGATTTGAGCGATCCCACTTCTCATAATCTCTTTTCTGTTCAGAGGTACTTGAATCCGTAGGAACAGGGGGTTGCTCAGTCCTTAACGCAAGATCCATATCCATGCAACCAAGAATAATATCAATGTTCTCTTTCTAGTCCTTAAAATTTGTTTCATTGAGGACCGAACAGCAATTTAAATTGGCGGATACGGAAGCAATTGTAGCTGGATTAGAACAAAAGAAATAAACTAATTATGCTCACATTATAAAATAAATAATTATAAATAAAATATATATTCAAATAATGGTTTAACCCATCTCAAGACACCCAATGCACCATAAATATTAAGTCTTTGGACAAGTAATATTAACTCGCTAGAGGTATCTTGTTGTAATAATCAAACATTGACAATAAAGCACGTCCAACAACAAACCAGTCTTTGGATTGATTTATCATCGACAAAGCAAATCCTTATAATTATCACATGTTTATCATTACAGGTGTGTATGTAATTCGGCCAAATATTAATCTTCCTTTGGGCCGACTAATACTCGCATGAATATACACAAACACTAACATTCAATATTTTTTTTTACGAACTACCCAATTCAAGAGAGGTTACTTTGGTAACTTCTTGACTCAATTTGTTCACAAAAAAATATTAAACTACAAAAAAGTAATATTTTATTTATATAACAAAACCAAATTTATATATATGTTTTCACCCAATATGACAGGCAATGTTGGCATTGTTATATTGAGATGGATGATCCAGATGTAACCAAGTTTACAAAGCGTCAAAGCACATCATAAATTTGTTATTTAGTCACTTTGATTGCCAAATGGTTTTCCTTGTATATTCTTGACGACAAATCAGAAACAAGAGCGTAATTACTGCTTTCGTAGCATGCAGTCATAAATGCTGCTACTGTTACACGATTGACATGAGGATCCAAGTCTAGTAACTTATGAAAGAACAGGGCTGCCATTCCCACTTTCTGTTCGCTACTTAGCTTCCTTACCAGAGTGTTAACTGTCTGGATCCAGGGTTTCTTTTCTAGCCTTTCAAGAACAATCATAGTAGAGAAACTGTCACCTATCTTGCAATATTCATGAGCCAACGTTACTCGAGTAACTTCACATGGAGTAAGTCCCTTCTCTATCATGGCATCATACAATCCAAGAGCCTCATTCAACTTTGACTGTTTGTACAACCCACTTATAAGAGCACCATATGTAATAGAATCTGGAACACAATCATGGCCACTCATCCTATGGAAAAACTTAAAAGCCAAACTTAAATTGCCTTCTATACAATAACCACATATCATTGACGTATAAGTGTGGTTTGTAGGAACAAGTCCAAATCTCAAAGCTTCCTTTGAATCTCACCACTGATATATGCACCCTCGTCGTCACCACCACCACCCCAACACACAACCCTCCCACTCTCTGTCAATATTGTTAGGATCGAGCACATTGAATTGAAGTATCATTTTATCAGAAACCTGATAAATGATGGAGACTTGAGTTTGTTGAAGATTCCAGGTGCAGAGAATCCCGCTGATATGTTGACCAAGACTGTTACAACAACTAAGTTGAGGCTTTGCATTGCCTCAACTGGCCTTCGAGCAAATTGATGATGAAGGCACTACACTAGGTGGTAACGTAAATCAAACTCCAAGTGGGAGAATTGTTAGTATTATGGTGCTTGATTTAGTCCCACATCGATTAGGATTGTGAGATGAGGTTCTCTATTTTGTTATATAAGCAACCCTATGTAAAGTTTGAGATACACACAGAAATAAAAAATACTTCCTAGTGTAGTCGTGGACGTAGGCATACATATTTTAGCCGAACCACGTTAAAATTCTTGTGTCGTTTATTTTTCTCTCCTTCATTCTTTCCTTTATTATTGTCTTGTTCCTAACAAATATCCCACACGAAAAACCGTGACCACATGTGACACTCTTAAACCTTAACCTCTCCGAGGGAGATACAAACTCGATCTCACCGTTTCCTCTCCAGCATCTCACCACACCGAATGGCACCTCCCTCACGTTGGGGAGCGTGAGGGGAACGCGTCTGCCGTCCCGGGAGCACAGGATATGGTGTTGGGGCTCCCCGGCGACGATGCCGCACACGGTGGCAGTGCCGTACGTCACAGCGATGGTAGCGGTTGAGCTCAGCCCATGCACGGCGGTTATAGAGAAAACGACGAATAGGGAGAGGGAGAGAGTGAAGGGTGGTGTCATTAGGGTTCTGAATTAGTCAGAGAATCTGAATTAGTCATAATCATCAGGTGCAACAGGCCATACGATAACCCATCACCATCACCGTGCCTTTAAACCCAACAACTCCCTTTCCCAACCACACTAGAGGCACGTCACGCGGCCTTCTCCAATTTTAGGGTTTTTAATTAGGGATTAAGGGTTTCATAAATTAATCTCAATTCTTAAATATTTCCTAAGAAAAACATGAATAAAGTATGGGCAGCTCTGATACCAAATGTTATGTTAACTGAAATTAATTATGATCTTTAATTTAACGATGAAATATAAAGTAATCTCATACTGTAAACATGTTATAAACTAAATGCGAAAGCGTACCTGAATTAGCCATAATGATGATGTCCCTTTTAGAGCACTATTGATCTTATGGTCTTCCATCTGAAGAGCACCTGTATTTCCCTCTTGATTTTCTCTCTTGATGGGAATAGAAAGAAAAGAACGGGACTGTAACTACGTTCTGTCTGTGTGCTTCCGGAAGGGGACCATGACCCTTTATATAACCAGAATTAGGTTAATTACTTAAGTTTTAGTATTTCCAATTTGGCCCCTCATCAAATTAGAAATTACTCTATGGTCTCTACACAATTTTTATTTTCATGACATATGCTTTAGCCAAAAATTTAATTTAGTCAGATAACTTTATTATTTGGCTTAATAAATAATGACCCTAACACATTTAAATATGTTTCATATATATACATGACCCAAATTTTGCAGTGTTTGTTTAGATTTTGACCATTTGAAGAATATTGGAAACGAAAACAATTATGAAAATTATAAAATTGTGTAATAAAATTTTATCAAGTAAGAAGGAGGTGAGACTCGTTAAATTTCCTACTCTTCAATAGAAGAGAGTGAATAAAATAGCTTTTTTTTTTTTTTTACCTTTTTTCTTTATAATAACTTATGATATTATTTGACTAGAGTGAAAAGAGTGCATAAATTATAATTAAAAATACCAAATTTTAATACGCATTTAGTTGAAAGTTGTTTTTATATAATAATATAAAAAATATATATATCACTCTTAAGTAAAACAGTCTTTGCCTACCAAAAAAATCATTACTTCGATTCGGACGAAAAGAGTAATTAATTTGATTAAAAATTATAAATAAATAAAATAAATGTTTTATTGAAAGGTGAGAACATCAATCTTAATTGAAATTTTGTTAGAAGGTTAAAATTTCAATGGATGAAATTACTAATTACTTTTTACTTACTCCATATAGGCGCGTGTGTGTAAAAAGTTTTTAATGCATAATCACATGGTAAATATATTTAATTGATTATAATAACAACAAATTTATAGAATATTATATTACATTATAATTTAAAATCAATTTATGAAATTATTCAATAAATATATAGATATGGAGAATTGAAATAGAGATGATGGTAGAAAATTTTCCAACATTTACATAATCGCACTGTACATACGGTGAGATTATATCACAAATCGACTTGTGAGAAAAAAAAATTGTCTATCAAGATTTTATTTTATTTTCAAAATGTTACTAATATTTATAATAAAAATTCTAACCTTGCATGAAAATTAAAATTATTACCTTTAATGAGTATGGGTTAGGCAAGAGAATTTTTATAGAAGTGTATTTTTAATGAAATGCAGATGAAAAAAATATTTCACCAAAACTAATTGTACCATGACTTGATCCTATGACAGTGCAAATTATTCACTTTGATTGATTACATTTCATGAGTACCAGATGGAATTTCATGGTTTCTACATGGAATCAATTACATTTAATGCATTCCAAATCCTATATAACCAGTGCAAGAATTTTTTTCACGTAACACTAATAAAATTTATACTCTTCATAATTCACAATGGAATAAAAGGCTGAGCCTAAAAGCTCTGCTTTAAATGTCCTTCCTACAAAGGCATCTATAAGACACTTTTAATAGAGAAAATTTGTGACTTTCTCAAAGTAAACTTGTGTTTAAAGTACAGAACAAAAGGTATATTGATTATTATTTCAGTAAAAGTATATTGTAATTTTAACCATTTGAAATTTGATTGAAATTTGATACACACTAGTTTTTCTTTTTTGGCCCTTCTTGCCACAGTCAAATATTTCTCTCAAAATTACATAACTTTTCACTTTATGATATTAAAAGAAGATTATGAAACAAAACAAATTTGCCTAGTACATTCATAACAGAGTGGAATACAAAGCAACATAGAAAAACATGAAGCCTCCCACTTCCCCACAATTTATACCTCATTTATGTTAATTATAATGAGAAAGTTAAGGAGGAAAAGAAAATCTCTTAAAAAAAATAATAAAGAATCAAACTGACTGCTTCAATCCTGACTGGTATTGCAGTATACTTGATCAATGATCTAATTTATGCCACAGCAGGCATGTCTTTGAGCCATGGATCCAGAGGTTTACCAATTGAGTAAACTATAAATCCAATCTCCCGTAGCTTATCAGCATCCACAATGTTTCTGCCATCAAAAACAAATGCTGGCTTTTGCATGTTGTCAAATATCTTCTGGTAATCAAGAGTCTTGAACTCATCCCACTCGGTTAGAATGCAAAGACCATGTGCATCCTTTGTTGCTTCGTAGGCATCCCAGACCACACTTACCTTCTTCACAGTAGTGGGACTTGTCGGCTGCAGGTGGATAGGATGATCCCAATCAAACTTGTTCATTGATAGATCCCTCTGAATTTGGTCCTCGGTTACTTGTGGATCATATATACTCAGGTTGGCCTTATCGCCAAGGAGCCCCTGGCATACATCAATGGCAGGGGTCTCCCTCGTGTCACCGGTGTCTTTCTTGAAGGCAAATCCAAGAATGGCAATCTTTTTGTTTGAAACGGTGTTGAACATTGATGCAACCACACGGTTCACAAAACGGCTCTTCTGATAGTCATTGATCTTGATAACTTGTTTCCAGTACTCGGCGACCTCTGGAAGCCCATTGCACTCACAGATGTAAACAAGGTTCAAGATATCCTTCTGGAAGCATGATCCACCAAAACCAACACTTGCATTGAGGAACTTGGGTCCAATCCTGGAGTCTGTACCAACAGAATAGGACACCTGTTGAACATTCGCCCCAGTAGCCTCACAAAGTGCTGACATGGCATTAACAGATGAAATCCTTTGGGCCAAGAAAGCATTGGCAGCAAGCTTAGATAGTTCTGCTGACCAGAGATTTGTGGTCAGAATTCTTTCTTTGGGAACCCATTGAGAATAAACATCCTTCAAAGCTTGAATTGCCTTTTGGCCCTCTGGTGTCTCCCTGCCTCCAATAAGAACCCGGTCTGGGTTAAAGAGATCTTGGATTGCAGTTCCCTCAGCAAGGAATTCAGGGTTTGATAGAATCTGGAATTTGATTCCCTTGCTGTTGTGGGTCAGAATCTTCTCTATGGCCTCAGCAGTTTTGACTGGGACTGTCGATTTCTCAACCACAATCTTGTCAGACTTTGAGACATCAGCAATCATCCTGGCTGCGCTCTCCCAATATGTTAAATCTGCAGCTTTGCCAGCTCCAAGACCCTGAGTTTTAGTTGGGGTGTTCACAGAGACAAACACTATGTCAGCCTCAAAGACATGCTTTTCAACATCACTGCTGAAGAAGAGGTTCTTGCCACGGCATTGCTTCACAACACCATCAAGACCAGGTTCATAGATAGGAAGCTGGTCACTGTTCCAGGCTGCAATCCGGGATTTCGAGATATCAACAACAGCCACTTCAATGGAAGGGCACTTCAGTGCAATAACTGCCATTGTAGGACCCCCCACATATCCAGCACCAATGCAGCAAATCTTCACCATTTTGCTTTTGTAAATAACCTATCGAAATGGGTTTTAAACAGATCAGTAAACACAAGAGCTTGCAACATAAGCCTCTTAGATGCCTTACACGGCTATCATTTCACATAATAGTATTAAAACAATATAATATAGACATGATCAGATACTGCAAATTGCAACTATTATCAAATAGGAAAACATGGAAACAAGTCATATAGCTGCTTATGTCTTTATGAGTTGAAAGAAATAGTATATTAAGAAACAATATACTTTAAGAATAGGCCAATAAATCTACACAGTTCCATCCTTTTGAGACATCATATCAAGCACCATCCTTTTGTTCTACCTAGCTTTGAGGATCTCAGTCCTGGCCAGTCATGGCCAACAGAACTGCATGTTAACTATTGTTCGACAAGTTCCCAACATGTTGGAATCAACACCATGTTAAACATCATGTATCAGGAAACAACAAATATGATTTGAAGAGACTCGAATATCTATTTAACAGATGAAAATGATCCCACCGATGAAACAGGAGCCAATATACGAGTTTAGAAGAAACCAGATCTAGCACACACATGCAAACGTAAGTCATTTTCAGCATAACTACAAGTTGACCACTAAGACCAAAGCAGATCTAGTACAAAGTCTAGAACCATGGACTAAATGCATGTGATTCCATTGCCAAATGCCACTAATCCCAACAGATCCAGAGTAAATTTTGCTTCAAAACAAGCTGACAACAAAAACCCACTAACAAAATCCACAAAAGCATCGAAATTTAACAACACAACAACATAAACAAGCGAAAATTGCCACAGATCCGTCTCACTTTCGCACAAATCAGAATCAAACCCATCAATAACAAAAGAAAATCAATAATAATAAGCAAAACACGACCGCCACACAGAAACGAAGCATAATTTTTAAAGCATGAATGTGTGATCCAACAAAAAAAGCATAATATTTGACATGAGAGGCAGCATAAACAGGAAATGGGAGTGTCGGAACATACCTTGGGAGAAGAAAGATGAATCCCTTTGACTAAGGGAAAGAGAAAGAAAATAACTGTGTTATGTGGAAGAAGAGCGTGACAAAGGTTATTTATATATACGCAACGAAAATCCACCTTCCCACCATGATATTACCAAAATGGACACGATTGCGGTCGGTGTCAAAAACCTTTCTATTTTTTTTAATTAAATATAACAAAATAAATGCCCATAAATATCATCTACATAGATATCAAATGTCCAATTTCGATTATTTTAGGAAAAAATTACTTCTTTCCAAAAACTTTTAACTGATATTTAATTGAAAAAATTAACTAAACCTATTATTATTAATTAAATTTAATAAATAAAAAATCCTAAATATTGAAGTATTTTTATGGAATATCATGTTATATAATTGAATTTGTATTACGTAGGAGGGTAAAAGTGGAAGTTGAGGTGAATTTACAGAAATGGGCATGAGTTCATGGTTTTGCTTGTAACGCAACTGGCAAATATGGGTTTACAGCTTATTCGCGCGTTCCACGCGTTTTGCCCCAATTCATTTTTCTGTGAGTGAGTCAAATTCAATATCCTCTCACTACAAGAATATTAAATATTTGTTCTTGCTTAATATAAAATTTGCCTTTCTTTTCTTATTTTTGCTTGAGACTTAGATTTGCAACTAACTTTTCTCTTTCTATGATTGTTTTTTAAGTTGTAAATTAAGAAATTCCTGTGATGGGCACATTCTATTAGTTGTACCACGTGCAAGGGAATTGAAGAATATGCATTAGACGGAAATATTGTGCAATTGAAGTAAAGATGTTGGATTATTAATGGATTATAAACAACTTTAGGTATAAGGTATTACTACCACCAATGATAGTCAATCTTGAAAATAAAAGGGTTTATAATTTAATCTATATTACAAAGCATTTGAATTCTAATTAATTTAATATAATTTTTTATATTTGTATTAAATTGATTATTTAATGTAAATTATAAATTAAGATTAAAAATAATTTATATATATTATTTATCGAGTCCCTCTTTACAAATAAAATTATAATAATTAAGAATCTAAAACAGTATCTTAAACTTAAAATTTTATCATAATAATACCATTATGTTATAAAATTTTCAAGGAAATTCTTTATTTACTAGTTTAAATAACAAATATAATTTAAATTTATTTTTCATTCAGTTTTACGTGAAATGAAACCATACATAAAATTGATCTGAATAAAAAACTCATGCAAAAATTTAAAATTATATTTTCTAATCTTTAAAATGAATTTAGTGGTTAATTGTTTAAATCATTTAATTCTTCAATGACTTCAATCTTGTCTTTCTTCTACTTTTTCACTTCTCATCATGTTTAGGGTTCAAGATCTCCCTTAAATTCCACAAAATCAAACTTTTCTCTCACGTCTTAATTATCAATATAAAGTACTTGTACATTTTCTTACAAAATAAGGCATAATAGACTATAATTGTTTTTAATACAAACACACTTAACAGTCACATTCATGAACACAAACTTCCACACATATTGTCTAATTTTATTCTTGGAATTTCTTTCCTTCTTTCTAAAGTTGAATTTGTTTCAATGTGCTTTGCATTTTTTTTATATTTGTGAAACAAAGTTACTTTTGTAATTTCTCCATCAATTTATTATTATTATTATTATCAGAAAGCAATGTTTTTGAAATTATCATTATTAACAGTGATTAAGTAGTTGGGTCTTCATGTGCACTTATGTATTGATCAAATCACCATAATTATTGCACTGCTTTTTTCATAGAAGCAGATGAAGCAAGCTTCAAAACTAAGAATGGACTTTGCTTAAGAAGTTAGTAAATAAATAAATATATTGAGTGCATTTGAAGACATAGAAAAGAAAAATTTAACAATTTTAACACTGAAATATATATATAAAATCCTTACATTGTCGTTGACATCTCACGTGTCTAACAATTAAGAAAATGAAAAGCAAAAGAATATAATGTTTAAAAAAAAAATACTATATTCCTTATCTTGTCCTTCTCTTCTTGTTTTTTATTATTCTATCTATCCTTTCATTTTATCAAGAATTTGAATCTTGACAAAAATGAGATAACTACTGTTATAAAATATCGTCATGTATGAAACACATGTTTTTAACAAAAGATCATATGTGGTGTCAATAAAAAAAAAAAAAAAAAACAAATCATGTACACGTAAAAGTTATCTAGGACTTGGCCCATGACCAACCATAATGATATAAAAAAACAAATCATTGCCTCGTGAAAGTTTTACCCGGGACATGACCCGTTTGAAATATATTTCAAGAAAATATAATTTTAAATCATTTTAATTTTTTTTTTCAAAATATATTCTGGATTAAATCATACTCAAGAAGATAACAGAAGGGTATTTTTATCATTTACATATATTATGGGTGTAGGAAGAAAATATGAAGGTAAAAAAAGAATGTGTCAGTAAATATAAGACCTAAACCCAAATTTTTTTTCGTAAGCCCAAATATTAATAGTATGCATTGTGGGGTATTTCTTTCTGCACCCTGCAGTTTTCTAGTCTGAAAAGCCCATTCCAGAATACATGGGAGGTGCCGATTACATCCCATAATTAAATTAAACTCTATTTTACCTTTATATTTGTCTTTCTCTCTTTCATTAGTGTATATTTTTTATTTTGTTCAATAACTTATTTTTACGTCCTATTATAATATTTTTATTATTTTATCTTCTCTTCTTCTAAAAATTACAAAAAATAGGTAAGAATGTCTAAATTTTTTTATTTTTTTTTATCAAATTTTTACATGTATAGTATTTATTCAACAATTTTTTTTTTGGTTGAAACATGATGCAAGGAGTGAAAGAACTGATTTTTTCCCAAACAATTTTTTTTTGTTGGTAACACGTTGCAGGGAGTGAAAGAACTGATTTTTTTTTTCACTAAACATGTTTTAGAAAGTACTTATCGGAAAGTAATTTTGAAAAATCAATTCTAAAATATTTTGAAAAATCAATTTTAAAATATATTTTTCGAAATATATTTTTAAAATTGATTTTTTTGAAAATATATTTTAAATTTATTTTCAAAATTGATTTCCAAAAATGTATTTTACGCTCAATAATAATATTTCAAAATGAATATTTCAGAATACATTTCTAGAATTAATTCAAAAATATATTCAAAATTGAGTGTTTCAGAATTTAATCTTATTTTTATGATGCATTTCAAATTAAATAATTGAAGTCTTTTTTTTATAATTTGAATGTAAAAATATGTAATTCATACATAATATTTAACGGTTACTTATCTTTAATGGTTAGAAAAAGACTTTTAATAAAAATAATAACACAATAAAAATCAAATAATTAAGAGATGAAACTGCATAACACAAATAAAAAAAAGAAATTAGATTACACAACAAAATTATACAAATAATATTTTAAATATTTGATTTAGAGAATGAAGATGAATGAAAAAATTATTGAAGTGAAAGAAACAAGAGCGTACGACGATTTTGGCAGACCAATAAAAACCAAAGCCCAAACATGAATACATTTGTTCTGTGATGGGTAGAGAAAAGTAAAATTATTTCCCAAATGTAAAATACTTTTAAAACTAAATGAGCACAAACTTTTAATAGTAGTGGAATATAACACATTACAAATTGTTCACACGGTAATTGAGCAGAAATATGTATAAAGATTTTTAATAACTAAAATAATTTCGATTATTGTTCATCTTGATTTTAAAAAATTAACAAAAATTTGAACATTACCATGATTTCAAAAAGGAAAGAAAATAGACAAATAAAAGAAAATTTTCATTTTAATACAATGTTAATTAATTAAAAATGAAATGCGTAGTTTGAATTTTATCGATGTATTTGACAAGACAGCAAATGCCAAAGGAGTGTATGTGTCGTTCACGTAGGTTGAGCATGATGTTGATGTTCTTGTCGTTGTCGTCGTCGAAGCCAAGCCACGGTTAAATCAGTGTGTTCCTCCTTTT